TCATTACGGGCTAGTTTCACCATGGGCCATTAATAGGCCAAGAGTTACATAGGGCCTCATATGGGCCGAAAGACATCATGGGCCATACATGGGCCAGAAGTGAAAACGGGCTGGTATCATATTGGATGGCCCAGATGACGCTACTAGGCCTAATTCAGATAGGGCGTAACGGGCCTTGGGTTAGCGGGCTGTAAATGGGCTATATGCGAACAGGTCGTTAATAGGCTTTCCATGGGCCAGCCCGCCACCTTTTGACCAAGTCAAATGGGTCGGCCTTTTCACAGGAATGGGCCTCTGTTGGGCCGTGCCACATGTTGACGTATTATAGGCGCCTTCTGTCCAATGAGTGGATGACATCTGTCCCAACGATGAGCCGACACGTGTTTCCTCCAGCCAATGATGATTTTACACGTGGAAAATCCCCATTGGTCGGGGCTGTTAACGGGTTATCGGATCCAAAACCCGACCCAATAGCTTAACGGCGTTCCGTTATGGTGGATGCCACGTGTCGGTCACCCTTGACGAAAGCACTTCTATGACGCGCGATTTATCATCATGGAAGTGCACAATTCTGTGATGATAATTTTGGTGATGTCATGGAACACTTCTACGACAGCACATGTATGACTATCTTGATTCTGTCATAAATTTGTCATGAATGTACATGCATGACAAAAAACGCGACCTACTATGACAAACACGTATCATCACGGAAGTGTATTTTTTGTAGTGATTGCTTTACTGCCTGAATTTTGATTGGGTCTGTTGCAACTCCATAAGCCCTAATAACATGTCCCAAGTACTCCACCTGAGGCTGAGCAAAGACACACTTGCTTGCTTTCAGGTACAACTGCTGTTCCTTCAGTGTTTCAAATACTTGTTGCAAGTGAAGTATGTGATCTTTCATATTTTTACTGAACACCAAAATATCATCAAAGAATACTAGTACAAATTTTCTGAGATACTTGGCTAAGATAGTATTCATGAGCATTTGGAAAGTTGTAGGAGCATTGGTTAAACCAAAGGGCATGACCAAGTATTCATAGTGTCCATAATGAGTGCTAAAAGCAGTTTTCTCAATATCCTCTTCCTTCATTCTGATCTGGTGGTACCCACTTCTGAGATCTAGTTTAGTGAAAACAGTAGCTCCATGTAGTTCATCCAACAAGTCCTTAATAGCAGGGATGGGGTACTTGTTTTTGATAGTCTGAGTATTGACCTTTCTGAAATCATTGCAAAGTCTCCAGGATAGATCTTTATTTTTCACCAAAATTGCAGGAGAGGAGTAAGGACTTGAACTATCTCTGATCACCTTATTTTTAATCATTTCTTGAATGATATTTTCCATAACCTCCTTTTGGTGATGAGGCAATATGTATGGCCTTTGGTTTATAACTTTTGCATCAGGTTCAAAAGGGATTGCATGATCAACAGTTCTTTTAGGCGGTAAATCAGTAGGAGTGCCAAAAATATCCTTGTACTGACCCAGAAGCTCTTGGACAGGGGGGGCAACAGTGTCCTCATGTTCTGTCAAAGCAATTCTGTTTAACAACAACACAGCCCCACAGATATTATCATCAGATAAGTGCTCCATGCCGTCCATTTCTTGGACTAGTTCACTAGGGAGGCTTTCATCCTTGAAGATTTTCTTTTCTCCTGATTTCAGTGTGACTTGTACTTCCATTTCCTCAAATCTAGCTGGACATGACTAACAGTTTTCATCCAATCAGCTCCCAATATCACATCATAACCTTGCAACTGTAGGACTCTGAAATCATGGAAAAATTCAGTTCCTTGCACCACAAAAGGGCACTGGAGGGCAAAGAATTCCGTCCAGAGAGTTGCTCCATTGGCAACTAGCACTTTCTTTTTCTTAGTTGGAGTGAGAGCACACGGAGCCAGTTTTGCTAGTACAGGAATTACAAAGGTTGCAGTGCTGCCACTGTCAATGAGGGCTATAGCAGGTTTGTCTCCCAGCATAACTGTAACAGTGAAACTCAGCTTGGAGGAAGTGACTCCCATGAGGGCATGCATAGAGATTTGCAAGGGGGTGTCATCCAGGTCAGTGGGTGGGGGTGCTTCAGTATCATCAACAGTGTAGTAGACCAATTCTGCATCCTCAGGACATGTCTCTTGCAGGGCTTGTATTTGCATTTGATTTGCAAGTTTGCAAACTTTCTTGTGGCCAGGAAACCATGGTTCTTTGCACTTGTAGCAGATTCCTTTCATTCTGGCTTGTTAGATAACAGTAGGTGTGTTGTTAGGAGTGGGCTTCCCTGGGTCAAACTGAACCTGCCTCCTGACAGGCTGATTAATATAGGTCACTGGTGTTTTCTTGCTAGGTTGGGCTTGTTCCATCCTTCTGGCCAATCAAATAGCTTTTTGTAAGTCAGCTGGTTCATGGCATTGAACATAATGCTGGATAGTATCAATCAGGCCAGCAATGAAACTTGCTTTGTAGTAATCAGCAGGTAAAGCAGGGTTGTCCCTTCTGAGCAAGTTCATGGACTGTTCAAATTTTAGCACATAATCATTGACAGAGCCAGTCTGGTTGAGGGCATGAAAAGTTCTGACATTGTCACATACTGAGGTTTCTGAAAACCTGTCCCCAATAAGCCTACAAAACCTGTACCAAGGTAGTGTGTTGGCTATAATTCCAGTTCCTCTCCACCATTCTATTGCTGGTCCCTTTAAGTAAGTGACAACAATTTCAATTTTCTGCTCCAGTGGTGTGCTAGCAGCTTCAAAGTACATTTCAATGATTTGTATCCATGAGTCAGTTCCACTGCCATCAAACTCTGGTATGTTATACTTAGCAGGTTTCACCAGAGTCAGAAGTCTTTTCTTGTCTTGGACTTGGTCTCTCTGTACAATACCCCCTCTGCCAGCTAGTTGCTGAGCCTGCTCCTCACCTTGCTCATGCTCTATCTGAGTGATTTCTTGCAAGTTTCCTGTTTGAGGAATTGCAGTAGTTGCTCTTGCATCATGTGGAGGAAGTCTGTTGTCAGCAAAGTGGGGGTGCCTGTAAGGAATTTTGGTGGTGCCATCCAAGTTGAGTTCTTTTCCAGTGTGCTTATCCACCAAGGTTACAGAACCTGGAGTAGGAGGGGTTTGGAGGCCATTGACTGGCCGAAGAACTGGGCCTTGCGGTGTATAATTTTGGCCACTGCCCCGAGGGACATCTTGGGGATTGGGTGGGGTTTCTCGTGGCTTGGAAAAACCTGAGATAAATTTTTTAAGTGTGCCCTGTAGTTCCCCTAAAGTTTTTTGCATGGACTGGAAATTGTCTTGCACATGGTCCCCAAAATCCTCAAAGTCCTGTCTGTCATGCTCTCGATTTTTCTGCAGTGTTTGGACATCAAGTTGTAAGGACTGCATCTCCAGATTGCTGGTAGAGGACGAATCTGACGGGCCAGTCATCTTGATGGAGTGACGCAGAGAGGGTTTTTAGAACTAGCAAGGAGCCAAGTAACCTCACTGCAAGAGATCGTCAGGCGAAGGGAGGATTTTTACCACAACACTTGCTGCAACCCGACCTTGACCGTAGATCCTGCCGCCGCCTGCACCGCCACCGTCGCCACGCCGCCGGAAGTACACCAGATCTGGGTGGGAGGTGGGATTTTACTGCTAAAACGGTGTGTTCCACAACCACGCCCCAGCACCAAACCTGTACTGAGCTATTCGCCGCCACCAACGCCGCCGTCAGCTACACCGCCGCCAAGATTGTCCGGTGAGAAGTGAAGGATTTTACGGCTCCTCCAACTCCACTTTGGCACCAGATCTCGTGCCACCGAGGAGCTGAAGCTTGCTCTGATTACCACTTGTCAGACCCAGGTGGTCTGAAGAACAGGATTCAACAAAGAGAATACTGAACTAGTCTGATTTAGCCAATTAGAGGAAAGATTAAGTGAGTCTAGCTCATTACAGAGGTTCTAGCCGGCCAGGAACACTGGCGGCGGCAAGGGGGAAACCCTAACAATATCAAGATACCAACTCCCGATCCCGGCTCCTGGCTTTATAGCCTTACAAAGTGGAGTAAAAATGAAGAGAAAAGCATACAGAAAGAGGGAGTCGCTGTGGTCTTTGCCAGAAAGTGAACAACGACAGCCAGGGCAATCACCACCACACGATGAAGATCGGAAGCTTGTCGGGTCATCATAACTGGCGAAGCGGTACGATGATGCCTTGGCCGTGCGATCGATGATGGGTGGCTCCTGACGTTTCCCGCCTATTAGAATGGGTTTGAAATGACTGAATCCAGGTTGCAGTGTTCTAAACTACAGACAGGGTAACTTGGGTCCTGACACCCTACTACCAACATCAGTTCATTTTCCATTTCATTTCTGGGGGTCCAATCTCCATAGCGCACGGTCGAGTAAGAAGGGCAATCCTTGTGTGTACTATGCTACACGATGAGTGCTTGGCCAATGGGGGCCATTAGTTGATCTAATGATGGCTACATGTGGTTTATTTACTCTGTTTTATTTGGGAGGGGGACAAGGCCGGGGCCTGATGGTCACCATCACATGGCAACTTGGTCTTGTGGCCGCCCGGGACGGTGTAGATTAACCCGATTGAACGGTCGGCCGACACGTGGTGGCGCTCTCCACCGTTCTTTTTGTGATTTATTATAAGGTTTTATTTATTCGGGCTGTGCATAGAGAACATTTTATATTTGAATTGTATGGCATGACTTCACTGTTTGGTTTAATGCTCTCAAGTGATGTTTTATCATCTTTCGGGTGCTGGTTAGTATCTTCACGGTGTGATAAATGTTTTCTAGGTGTTATTGAGTCTCTCACACGCTATCATTTCTATTATCGAGATGAGATCTTCTTGAGCTTTCGTAGAAAATTTAGTACTACTTTTTTTCCAAGTGCACGGTACTTTTTTTCAAGATTTTAATGCAATAAACAAAAATTGAAGGGTGCAATCGGACCCTCGCCACACCCCGGGGATCGAACCTGGTTGCACGACATATTCTCTATTTGCCCACCACCATGACCACAGCGGGTTACCTTAATATATTGAAATTTATAACAAAGATACTATTTGAGACATTATTTCGGTACTTAGGTTGCAAATAGTACCATATTATATAGATGTTCCATATGTCCATAAACCCCTTCCTTTTAATTTTAACTAACAAGCACACTTTTGTTCCATGCGCTTTACTTCTTTAAAAGGATCTGGTCCCGATTTCTCTCTCTTTTTCCCTTGGAATATGTGCTTGTATAGGTTGATATAAACAGGAAGAGGGCATCAGATTGTACCAGAAAGCGCCAAAGAAGTACAGATTGCAACACAAGCGATGGGATGTAATAGTAAAAAAAATAAGGCTGCGCCGGAGCAAGAACCAACTACTTTACCCGGTAAAAAGAAGTGCTTTGCTTGTAAAGAGACATCACACAATTTGGATTAATGTAGAATAAAAGACAAACTGGGTACTGTGGCCCGGCTATTTGGACGTTGTACAAGCTTTCCATTCTACATGATCCAACCTTCAAAGGAAGTTGTCGAAAATGAAAAATTCTACCATCACTGCCTGCTGATCACATCTAATACCTGTAACTTGGACCCGGCAAGAGTGAAAACTGAACTAAACAAGTTTTGGAAGCTGACTGATGACTGGGATATAAGGAGAGACGTTAGACAGAATTTCATAGCATCCTTCAACTCAGAGGATGACCTACTACGCTGTTTAAAGCCTCCGGATGTAGAAACATTTCTGGATGAAAAGGAGGTGAATTTCAGTGTAGCAATGTGGGATGAAGGTGATAGGGAAAAGCTTGACTTGATCAAAGAGTGGCTTTTGGTCTATGGGGTCCCAGGTGCATATATAAACTGGAAGGAGCTATATCAAGTGGCATCTGCAGTTGGAGTTTTGCTTGAGGTGGATGAGGAAATTTTGGAAAGTGGAGATAAGGAGCCTATTAGGTTGAGGATAGCATTAGGAAGTCCTGTTGGTGCTCCTTTCTCTTACCACTTTGTGTTTGGATGGTCTTCTAGACTAGTCAAGTTCATGATTGAAGACAAAGTAGGAAGGATAGAAGGGCAGTGGAAGGAAGTAGAAGAACGAAATGTTAGCGTCATGAAGGAATATGCAGATATAAGAGAATAACGTATCAAGGTACCTCCAGGAACAATGAATAAAGGAATCGATTTGGAGGGCACTAGAGTAGATTTCACATGCAATTCTTCTTTGGATTTTAGAAGTTGCTCAAGCAAGGAATGTAAAGAACAACTAAAGACCACAGAACAGAATGATAGCGTCATGAAGGAATATGCTGATATAAGAGAAGAAGGTCTTGAGGTACCTCCAGAAACAGTGAATAAAGGAATGGATTTAGAGGGCACCGGAGTAGATTTTGCAGGCAATTGTTCTTTGGACGTTGGAAGTTTCTCAGGCAAGGAACATAAAGAAGAGCCGAAGACCACAGAAATAGCTACATTGCTGGAAGTGGCGAAGTTCATTGCAGAGTTAAGAGTTAATGAAGACATCAAGGGAAACAGCACAAGTGCTATGGCAGCCACCACAGCAAACTCGAAGATAGTAGCAACAGGGGGCAATCCCCAAGTGAAAGCTCAGCAGGAGCTGATCATATGTCGGGTTTGGAAGATTGTTCAGACAAGGAACATCAAAAGAAACTGAAGACCTGCGATATGGCTACATTGCTGCAATTGTCGAAGTTCATTGAAGAGTTAAGAACTGATGGAGTGATTGAAGAAAATAATGCAAGTGTTGTAGTGGGCACCAGAACGAACTCCGAGAGAGCTACAAAAGACGTTCCAAAAGCTACAGAAGACATGGCTACATTGCTGCAGGTGTCGAAGTTCACTGAAGAGTTAAGAACTGATGGAGAGATCGAAGAAAACAATGCAAGTGTTGTAGTGGGCACCAGAACGAACTCTGAGAGAGCTACAAAAGACATTCCGAAAGCTATAGAAGACATGGCTACTGTAAGAGTTGTGTCGAATATTGTGTACAAGGTAGGTTACAGTTGGACTAGGAGTTGTATTGTGTTTACATAGGATGTGGACTTGTGTCCTAATAGGATACTTGTATCCTAGGCCTCTCATATATAGCGGGGGTAGACACACGATGTAACCTATGCCAACATAATAGCACCGGAACACAGGGGAAGCCGGCGACATGTGCCGGTGTCCAGGGCGACCAAGTGCGGTATTGTAGCGTGTCATGGGGAGGAGCGCCCATAGTCAGGCCCCGGGGATGTAGCCATATCGGTGAACCTCATTAACAAATCTCGGTGTCGTGCTCGTGTGATTGCTTGGTCCTCGGATGATCAATGATATGTCTCGAATTTATTCTAACAAGTGGTATCAGAGCAAGGTTACGAAGAGACTGCGGATTATTGATCTGGAGGAAGAATCGAGTTTGAGATGTAGCCGGGTGCGGCGTGATTCTCGACAAGATTGGAAGAAGCAATCGGAAGTAGTCGCGTGGTTGGATGCCTAGGCGGAGGTGAGTTGCAGCAGCAGGTCATGGGACCGGCGACTCGGCGAGATGCAGCAGCATGTCGCGCGCGTGTGTGAGCTGCGGATCAGGAGAGGATAAGCCGTACGACTGCAGGCAAGCAAGTCACGGGCCAAGCGACAGCTGGTTAGCGCGTACGGAGGTGCGCAAGACCAGACACAAGTCATGTACAACCTTCGACCGAGTTTGTTTGAAAAAAAAGGACCGAGTCCTCGTATACAACGCAAGGCAACAGATCAATTTGAGCGGAAAGAAAAATCCATCAAGCGGCGTATCCATCAGGAGCACTACGTGCGTAAGGAATTGACACAAAAGGCAGCGAGCCCTACTAGCAACAGGAGTTGAGCACGGGAGCTACACACGTGAAGACCAAAAGGTTGTTTTTGGTTGCAATTTGCTAGTAGTACAGATTTGCTGTGTACTTGAGCATCACGTGAGAGGAAAGCTCGAATAATTTTTCACAGCGTCAGTCATACAAAGAATTATGACGTCATCGGGCATCAGGTTTGAGGTGGAGAAGTTCAACGGAACTGAAAACCTTGGGTTATGGCAGACAAAGGTGAAAGATTTGTTGGCACAACAAGGATGCTTGAAGACGTTGCGAGAAGTCAATTCAGCTAAGATGGAATTATCATGTGATGGATGGAAATTCATGGAAGACGATTTGGGAGCCTCGAGCGTGTCATGTAGCCGGACTACTTCGGCTGGGTTGGACTGGACAGTCTGACGGATCGATGTGAGTCGGTTGGTACAGAAGACGGTGGTGGGATCGGCGACGACGACATAGGAGCGTGATGCTGATTGTGACCGACTTCTGGGGCGTGGAAACACGTGGCACAAGCCCGAGGCTTGTGCGGCTTCGACAGGACTATGGCACGGGGTTGATACAAGGTGGTGTACACACGGAGATTGAAGTCGACGGGGCGCGTGGGTGGACTGATCATCTACCATGGAGTCATGTTGAAGGTGGAGCTGGAGTCTGGAAGACTTCACTTGGTGCTGATTGAGGGGCTACGACGTAAGAGCTCAGAGAGTCGAAGCCTATTCAGCGGGAAAAGCGAGTGACATGTAGTTCAGACTGGAGCCCAGTGGTCTGATGGAAGCGTGAAACTCGTCACCAGTCGGCGATGATCGGTGGTACTCTGCAGTAGGGGTTGAGTGGTGTGGGTTCATGACCCTTGAGACTCGACCGGGACAACGGAGGCTCGACGCGGTAATAGCGGCGAGGCATGCGGTATGCATGGACATGGAGACGGGCCAGGGCTCTGGTGGTCATACATGTGGTGAGACAACTGCTAATTTGACTCGGGATGACTACAAGCAATGGTGAAATTCCTTCAAGTTTCAGATAGACGGTCAAGAAAGGAGCGGTGATGTTGAGTTCAGGTAACTCTTATGTGTGACACCCAATATGTGAGTTGTTCACTTTCACATAGGTTAGTGATCAGTGTGTGATGACGTTGGACTGATACTCTGGAAGTTGGGAGCACCTAGAGTAACAAGGAACTTAATTTTGCTCGAGCGTTGACTGTGGTCAAGAAAAGAAGGGACTACAAGTTGCAGGTGAAGTCACATGGAGTCTTTGGAGTAGCAGCAATACTCATGGGATAAGCTCAAGTCCAATGTACATGGAAGTTTGATGCATTGACGAATTCAAGGTGGTGGAGAATATTCGCCAAGGTGGAGTTTGTTAGAGTTGTGTCGAATATTGTGTACAAGGTAGGTTACAGTTGGACTAGGAGTTGTATTGTGTTTAAATAGGATGTGGAGTTGTGTCCTAATAGGACACTTGTATCCTAGGCCTCTCATATATAGTGGGGGTAGACACACGATGTAACCTATGCCAACATAATAGCACCGGAACGCAGGGGAAGCCGGCGGCATGTGCCGGTGTCCAGGGTGACCGGGTGCGGTATTGTAGCGGTGTCATGGGGAGGAGCGCCCATAGTCAGGCCCCGGGGATGTAGCCATATCGGTGAACCTCGTTAACAAATCTCGGTGTCATGCTCGTGTGATTGCTTGGTCCTCGGAAGATCAACGGTATGTCTCAGATTTATTCTAACAGCTACATTGCTGCAAGTGTCGAAGTTCATTGAAGAGTTAAGAACTGATGGAGAGATTGAAGAAAACAATGCAAGTGCTGTAGTTGGCACCAGAACGAACTCCGAGAGAGCTACAAAAGACATTCCAAAAGCTACAGAAGACATGGTTACATTGTTGCAAGTGTCGAAGTTCATTGAAGAGTTAAGAACTGATGGAGAGATCGAAGAAAACAATGCAAGTGCTATAGTGGGCACCAGAACAAACTCTGAGAGAGCTACAGAAGACATTCCAAAAGCTGAAGGTGGGCAATCAATATGCGGAAGTTCAACTTCAACAAGCTTGATTGAAGAGGTCTTTGGAGGTGAGTGAGAACTGCACATTTGGGAACTTCGCTGTGCTATATTTATCAAATATGTTACTCTCCTTTTCAAATCACAATAAATGGAAAATACTTACAAGAGCACGTAAATGGGAATAAACAAATTCTCAGTCCTTGAAAAAGATAATTAAAATATCATGTATGTTGTGATTTTACTTGGCACAATAACAATTGGTTGACACTTTGTTTTCTGACATCATGTTTTATCTGCCATGAAGGTATGGACAAGCCACCTATAAAAAATGTGTACACAAGAAGGGATCGGAAGCAAAAAGAATCGTCAGAAGGTTCCACTTTGTTTGCTCATATCAGTTCTGACAGTGCCCATGAAGGTATACAGAAGCCACCTATAAAAAATGTATACGAGG